TTTTTTAGGTGTTCTTTTGTCAATTTAACTAATCCTGAGCTCGACAAAAGGAAAGCGACTGGCCTGATATCTTTTTTTTGTGTTCCTCAAAGAAYAGAAGACAAAGAAACAGACTATAGAACCGGATAACAACCAAATAACAAAGATAGGATATTTTGTAAGATGATATGGTTGTGGCGGAATCCTTGCGAAATCRTTCATGMAATCGGAAATATCTAATCTAGGAGCTAGGAAACTGGATTCCAGGAGCTTGGAATKCAAAATGAAGTAACTTGGAATGCGGAATCTAGGAACGCTCCGGATTCATTCATAATCTTGTTCATGATCCAAGGTGCGCAAAGTACCYTAAAAAGTGAGAGGAGAGGGAAGGAAGGGGCTGAGATTTGTGACGGAAGACTGGCTGAGAGAAAATAAGAATCAACGAGCAAAATGCTGGGCTAGCATCCCTCCTTGACTTAAACACTATGAAAGAACAAACAGCCACGAAGAGAGAATATTTCTTTATACTTTATACTATATACTGTACACATACCAAGAATCGAGTACTGGGTTTTGCTATTAGGAATCTCTGTCTTGGGTTGGTAACCGCCATACKTGTTTCTAATGCGCGCGAGTGAAGATTTCGCACAAGGGATTCTTATTGTTTTTGTCTGTATCTACAATTTGACTTTTAGTTCGATTTACAGTTTTGATGTCTTCACTCTTGCATACAGCGCGCTGCACGTTTTCTGTTCAAAATACATGCTGTAGCTTCCTTAGGGCCGGATTACACTGTGATATAAGCAGAAGCAGAACAAGTGTATTTTGTATATGTGAACAGGAAAAACAGAAGCAGAGACATAAGCAGATGAAAATGAAAACTTTTTCATTTTCTTCTGCTTCTGCTTCTGTTGAAAGATTATGAGTGTGAACCGGGACATCACAAGCTTGTGCTTCGGTTTCTGTATATATCACAGTGTGAACCCCGGCCCTTAGCAGACATGCTGAGCCACTGCAATTAAAAGCTTTAGTCCGTTCACATTTCTCCTCATCCTAACCCCTATTTTTAAAATCTTATTACATTACATAGTATCAAGTATATATCTCCTYATTTATTATAATATATTAGATATGCTTTAAACTAGCTATAATAGTAGTAAAAGGCATATTTATTTAACCGAAACCGATCTAAGTGTACATCACATCATTTTGGCACAGCTTATAAAAAGTAGCTAAGCCAGGTGGGTGTGGATCTTAGAGTTAAAAAGTATCTAAAATAGTTGTGTGGGTTTAATTTTAGGGAGGAGTTCTACCCAACCATTTGATGCGATTTGAGTTAACTATGGATTTAATTTAGAAAAAACAGTTCATAGACAGTCAGTTTGAAAAGTAACTTCACCTTAATAATTACCATTTGGTTGCATATTAGAATATATAGATTCGATTATATCTACTATTAAAGTTGGGCGACTTTTCAAAGCGTCTGCCAAGAAAAAGGAAGATGTCGAAAATATATTTACATAAAATAAAAATCTTGATTATACGAGAAGGAAAATTAATTAAACTTTTAAAAGGAAACAATTTTTTTCACATTGTATATGTACATGCGGATTCTAATCTATTGTGTCTAATGCTACTTCTATTTTCAAAGTAAGGTTGGTGGCATTTACTTGTACAGCGAGGTCACTCAAACCGTGAACAGCGAGGTCACTCAAACCGTGAACACTAAGGCCGAATAAAGGGTTTAGATTTTGCATGGATTTTCCTCATCGCGTTGAAAGGCTGTTCAAATAATAATTCTGTTAACTGCTCGACGATCGTGAGTTCATGTTCAAGGTAACAATGTCCTCAATGTAATGCTATACAGTTGCAATGCAATTTGTAAAATTTAGTTAAGATTCTATGCACTGCATTGCAAAGTTTGACAGCAAATGTTGATCTGTTCAGCAAATGTACCTTGTTGAAGCCAAAAACAAGAGTGAGAAGTAAAACAACGCGAGTGAGATTTAAGCAAAATCAGTTGCATTTAAGTGACCAATGTAATTTCAAGCATGGTTCCAACACAGCTGAACTGACYAGAAATAAAATGTATCTTCAATAAAGAATTATATATTAAAAATGCGTTCATGTTCAAGGTCTATTCGTGCACTGAAACTTTTTTTTTTTCTAGTCAATGTACAATTTCATCCACCTGAGGTTAATGTCTCCGTTTTAAAGGATCTTATCAAAAACGTTTTGGTTTTGAAT